CAGCCTCTCAGCCTATAACCAAGGCAAGCACCCATGTTCTCCTAGGGTGCATGGGCAAAGTGAGCAGTACTCGAGCAAGTAGTGTTTATACTCACCCCAGTACTAGGAATATAACAAAAAAGGGGGGACGACCAACCCCTATTTCATTTCTCTCTCTCTCTATCTCTCTCTCTCTGAGGCAAAAAGCTGCCACCTTTTCATCTCTCTCTAAAAGGGGGTAGAAATCTATTGTTTTATCTCTCTAAAAGAGGGTGGAGATCCACTCCCTATCTCTCTCCTCCAAGAGAGAAAAAGATGCTTGAATATGAGAGTAGAGAGAGTATGAGAAAGAGAAATGCTTAAGAGAGATAGAGGAGATGCCTATGAGAGAGGAGAGATGATTATGAGAGAAATACCTTAGAGAGATAGAGATGCCTATGAGAAAGAGAGATACATGTGAGAGAGAGAGAGAAGCTTGTGAGAGAGATAGAGAGATGCATGTGAGAGAGAGATGACTGACAGGGAAAAAGAGACATGGCAAGAGCTCTCTTTCCCTCCAGCCACCCGCCTAAGGCCCTCCCTCTCTTGGGCATGTCGCTAGGATGCCTTTTTCTTCTTTTTTTTGTTCTTTCAGAGTCTACTCGGACTTGGCCAAGGAACTCGGCTCGGGCTATGGCGCGAGCCGAGTTTCCAAACATTGATATACAACACCAATCAATCCTTTGAAAACTGGATCAAAGAAACAATGTGAAGCCCAATTAAAATATTATTTGAACCTATGGCTCTATCAAAGCCCTACTCAAGTAACATGTATGATCAAAATCTTGGTCTAGTCAGCCACCCATCTTGGTTCATTTCTAAGAAGAATCCTTGTTATGAATTACTCAGCACAAATAATGTCAACCATGAGCAGGCAAGTCAACTAAGTAGTATGCATTTTAATAAGTTTTCCCATGTGATGGTACCTCAATTAATTTACAGTTCAATGCTTTCAAGCTTGAAAACTTATATTTCAAAGGAACATTGTCCATTGATCCAAGAAACAGTGATTACAACTTATACTCAAACAGTGAACGAAAATTCGACCGCCTTGCCACCTAGGCGTAGCCTAGGCTGTGGGGTCTCGGCAGACGCCTAGGCAGGTCTAGGCACCCACCTAGGGCCACCCCTTAAAAAAC